GATTTCAAAGATTTATAATGATAACTTTTACTCAGCACCAAAGTACAATATTCTGTACAAACCTCCTTGAAGAAAATCGATTTAATTTTTCATTCCGTTAAACTGGAAAAAACTTTGTGAAGATTTGCTTACATTTTGATATCAAATCATTAAAAATTACCACGCCTCGGGTACAAATGAATCGCATTTTTTGCAGATCGACGCAAATGATCTTTACGAGAATGTTTAACATACTTTTGCAACCGGATTTACTGTATTCTCTCCTTGGAAAACAGAAAGAAATAGAAGGTTTGGTGAAAGATATGAGAGCTCTTGCAAGAGAGGTAAGTCTCGTTATGGTTGGCATCATAGAAAGAATGGACAAAAAGGATCAAACGCTTTAAAAAATTAAATTACCTCATTTTACCCTTATTTTTAACAATAATGGAAAAAATATTTTTACTTAAAAAAATGAGTCATCAACATGAAAATACGATTATAAAGGTACATTTATAAAGGTATTAATAAAAAGTTTGCATGGCTTGTATACATGGACTTTAGATGATTAAAAACAGCTAGTTTAGATTTGTAAATTATGAGTGATTTGTGTATAAGTAAAATGACGTTGTAAAAAACAGCTTATTCACTAGCATTTAAGAGAGATAACTTTTGCATTCGATTATAAAGCGTTTTCGTCGTCTCTGGAAAGTCGTTTTAAATTAAATGTAACTTTGCAAAAAAAGAAGAAAATAATAATTTTTTCTAGTAATAGAGAATAGATATAATGGTCTTGGCGAACTATGTAGACTATAAATAGTGAGTTTGATTACATGAAAAATTAAACTTTAGGCGATTCATTAGAAATTATAATTCCAGATGGTGGAACTTCGAGCAAAGCACAGAAATGATATCAAGAACTCAGAAGACACAGCAGGTAATTTAATAGTGAATTATTTAATCAAATATTATTATTATTTTTATCCCTATGATAATGACATCAATATACGTATTATTAACTATCACAGATTGTAATATGAATATTCATGAAGATACAGATACCCTATAGTCCAGGCATATTAGATCAAAAATCGGCGATTAGAAAAAAAAAAATTATATATAAGGTTTTATGTGCCCAAGTTGTTCATTGGGGTGCCAGGGACTCCCAGCAAAAAGTCCCCAAGAATCCCCTGTACGCTCGACCCCCCGCCCCCCCAAAACCCCCAAAAAATCGACCTTTCCTCGGTTTTTCGTAAATATCTCAAAAAGAATTGGTTTTAGCGAAAAATAAGTTACCTAGTGAATAAAAGTTCATAAAATTTCCAATAAAAATGACTTCTATGAATTTTTTTGTAAAACGACTTTGAACCCCTCAAAATGGCCGCCGAAAAAACAGGCATTTACGGAAATTTCAGTTTTTTCCCGAAAATGCCCATTTTTCTTTGAAACGGCTGCTCTCATGCAAAAGTTAATGGCGGATTCTGAAAGAACGTTGAATTTCACATCAGAAATGATTAACATCGATCATTTTAGACTCACAGTAGATCTACGGAAATACGATATATCGAAGCTCTTCCGCCCGGGCCTAACAAATCAAG